TTGAACAAAACTGGGGTATTTTCATAAACATTCTATTTATATTCATTGAGTTTACACCCTAGTAATTTTGGATGACATAACTGAAGCTAAAATGAGAGCTTGTTTTCTCAATACACAAGTACTATCAATATTCTTGTTGCTTTTAATAATATTAGCATCGGATTATTTCAATTCTTTGTCGAAAACTAATTTCTTCACAAAGCTAATTTCTCAACAAAAAATGATCCTAGTCAAAATATTCACCTTCATTTCCTGTTAACGTTTTTCAATTCCTTGGCAAGGTCCCCCCATATGTCTCCAACTTTTCTATTTGATTTAGTAGTACTTTTTCGTCTGATAGATCAGCGATATCTACAATGCAACACACGTATTAATTTCTTTGTTTATGATGATTGTACGTGGTCTCCTTGGAAATGCCAAAATCAGGCAAGTAAAAAGATTAAAATATCTTTGCGATTCTTTAACAGAGGACGGAAAAGATGACACCGAAATTCGATGAAAAGCAAATGATTCTTTCCAAAAGCTAAGCAAAGTATTAAAAGATTACTGAAATATGTAATATGTCCTCCTATATGGCAGTGAACGTGGGACAATTTCCTCACAGATGAAGAGGATACTCGAGGCAACAGAGATGTAGTTCTACAGAAGTATGTTGAGAATATAAAGGAACTGAATATACGTGAGTAACGTGGACGTATTAGGGAAAAGAGGAAAAAAGGGGCCATTATTATTAGAATCACTTAATCTCGGATTTGGACAATTTGCTTCAATTTCTAAGTGCCAGGGAATATTGCATTTTTATTCTTTAAAACAGCTGTAGTGTGCATGCTCATATTCCAGTGATTTGAATAATTCCTATTGATATTCCATTCCTACCCACCCATGTATGTTGTTTTTTTTATAATTCTACTTATATGAATAGCAGTTTTGTTATATGTCTTCTTTTTTTTTTAACTTTTCACTCCAAGCAAGGCTGGAGTGCCACTTACACGCAAGGGGTTACTGAGAGTGGGAGTGAGATTAAAGAGGTCTGAAAGAGGAATGTGTAAAGAGAAGGACGGGGAATAGATCAAGGTATATGGAGATGTCGATTGACATTACATTTGAATATTAGGCGATTATAGCTATCAGAGAAGCAAGTAAGAGGAAGGGAGTTCCACAGACGGAAATGCGAGTCATGAAGCTATTGGAGTGGAAGAGACGGCTACATTTAACCGTTTAGAAAGTGAAAAGGTAGGACTGAGATGCCGACCTGGTGGCACGTTTAAATTCATACAGTTTGGGAACTCTCGAAAATAGCTCGTCGGAACAGTTACTGTAAAAGTATTTGTAGAAAAGACACAATGAGGCGACGGCACGTCTGCGAGAGAGCGACTGTTAACGAGATGTCAGCCATATTTGTTATGGACTTTTGTCCCAACATATTTGTTCTGGGCTGTGAATTTTTGTTTCATTTTTGGTTATGAGTGTTTCGTTTCTCAATTATCTTTAACCTGTCTTTCTTTTAAATCTTTGTATAATTCGTTTTTCTGCTTCAACGATTGCTTGAAATGATTTTATTTCACTAAAAATTCTTTCCTCAGACATTCATTACAGAATATCCCTAGGGCATGAAAAGGATGATTTTCATACTGATTTTCACTGAGATTAGATGTTCCCTAAAGCATTTTTATCTTTCGAATTAATTAGAAGGGAATAATGACGCTCACTCGCCAAAACATTTTAATTCCGTTTATATTATAAGGTAAAAATATTTAATCTAAAACACAACTTAGAAATAAAGTAATATTTTAGAATAGAAGTATTGAGAAAATATAAAGTTTCTTTATGTCAACAAATTCGAGAAAAAAGCAAAAGTACAAAATTTATAAGAGAAAAAAACGAAATAAAAATATATATTGCAAATTACAAATAGAACTTAAAAAAAAAGGAATATTATATTTTACTCTAGTTATGCAAAAGAAAAAATAAAGAAAACCAACAAATGTCGTAGTGATAAACAAATAATTGCCAGACTCGGAGTCTATGAATCAAATGGTGCGAGCTGTTGGGGTTCGATCACAAGAATTTTAATTCTGATCCTTGCCATTTGAAAGATTAATGAAATTCGCAAATGATTTCTTTCGTAACAAACGAAAGAATACTGAACTGCTACGTGACATCTACCTTCGTTTACGGTAGCGAACGTTAGACGGCGTCCTCAAAGAAGGCCATCAAAAATTTCCGACATTCATCTTGAGGTCTGGTGATTTAAAAGTAAAATCACGGGGAAAACTTGACATAACATCGTTATCTTATAAATTGGAAACAAAAATGTTATAAATAAAAAAAGATCTACCTCCATTTCAAATTACGCTTCTAAAAGGTCAAAGTTGATACTTTCATAACAATTTATTGATTTTTTAAGATGTTTGGCCTTTTTTAATAAAAAAAAGTGTTTATATATTATTAATTTATTATAATAATGCGTGAATTTTTTATATTTCTTACAGAGAGAAGATATTTGTATTTAACAAATTTCGAATTTTTATTGGAACAAAGCATAAATTTTTCAGTTATCCTTAACCTTTATAATGGCCATTTCTACATCGTCACTATTAAATTTTGTTAATAAAAATCTTTTCCCTATAAATCAGTGTCAAGCAAGCTGATTGGATGCTTGGAATTTTACCGCCTTTTTAGTTTATTTAAAGCCGAACCATACTATAGGGTAAGTTAAGGAAATTACAAAATGTATAGAAGCTAATTTATTTTTCCTTATATGTGTACATATATTTTTAAACGCATTATCATGACATCTCTTACGCCCACTATTTACATTATTCGGACTATTGTCCTCATATTTGTTGCTCTATTTATTACAACGTTTCGGCCGTTGCACTCTCCGGCCTTCTTTAGGTGGTTGAAATGTCGAACATAGAGAAGAACATGATTAGAGACTGTGTGTACGCTATCCCGTTCAGCTGCGGAAAGAAATATAAAAGGGAAGACAGTTCGCCCCCTTAAGGTAAGGGTTCAAGAACTCCAGAAAGGGTAAGTGGAAAAATCAGGGATGGCTGACCACTTATGGAGAGAGAAGAGAGATCACCGCCCTCTGGGGGATCAGGTTGAGATCATAAACAAAGAACACCATTGGCAAATTCGTAAAGTTAAGGAATCAGCAAATATGCTAGGCCACAAAAATCTCCTGAGCCGACCAAGCATAGAAATAAATACAATATGGGAACCAGTAATAAGGAGTGCCAGAAAAAAGCGATAATAACAAAAAAATTGCAAAAATAAAAACATGCAATAATAACAGCAAAAATTGTAATATGAGCACTGGTAAAAAAAATGGTTGCTGAAGACATTAGGTTTATAATGCCCAGAACCCTTTATTTCGCTCACTGGGGTAGACTGTTCTAGTTCCACGTGCCATGTTATCTTCTGCTAATTTTCCCTCTGAAAGTTTTCCACTGCCTTAACCAGGTATTGAACTCACATTCTTTGGGTCTGTCACTGAATCTAACCAACGCCTTTATCCACTGTGCCATATGTCCTTGTTCAGTTCGACATCCCAAACACCTGAAGAAGGCCGGAGCTTACAACGGCCGAAACGTTGTGACAAATATGGCGACAAAGATGAGGACAATAGTCCGACTAATGTAAATACTGTACATAATACCTCATCTCAGAAATATAGACAGATAACTGATAATTGACAATCATTAGACATGGCACGTGGAACTAGAACAGTCTACCCCAGTGAGCGGAATAAAGGGTTCAGTTCGACATTCCAACCATCTGAAGAAGGCCGGATCGTACAACGGCCGAAACGATAAAGATGAGGACAATAGTCCGAATAATGTAAATAGTGTATATAATACCTCATCTCAGAAAATATAGACAGATCTCTAACGCCATATAAATTCTTGTCAATATTACATTAAAAAGAGGATAAGGTTTAAGAATCTGTGTCTGTGGGTTTTTTTTTCTTATAGGCCGTGAATAGGCGGTAGTGTCTCCTCCAAATGCACAGTACTATTGACGGAACATATTGACAGTTATGTGTTGCAATACTGACTAATTTTAAACAACCCCCGAACGTATTCGCGCTTCAAGTTTAATCATATGTTAAAGTAGTCCCTTTTCGTGAACGTTATCACTTTAATATTATTTCTCGTGAAAGGAATTACTTTACATTTATGTGACCCTAAACCAGTTCTAAAAGGAAGAAATATAATTGATCCAATATTTCAATGCTCTAAAATAAAAAATAAAAATCTTTCAAACTACCCCCGTTAGACGTCGTAAGAGACTTTTAAAACTTTTTATACACTGATTGATTTTTAAAAAAAAATCAGAGAAACATTTACAAACAGACGAAATTGGTGCAAATATGAACCTGCGTATAAAACTCCCAATTTGAATCAAGCGTTTATTTATTTCATTATGGCACAAATGGATAGAAAAATAAATATCTGTAGGAATATTATGATACGTTCTTCCTCCAAGTGGGGCAATTTCCTTTGACGTGAACAGCGCATAGAGAATAGCATATAATAATCATATGGAAACATCCTCGTGCAAATTAATTGGAACAACCGCTTTAGCTTCCTTTCTTTCACCTTGAAAAATATTGCGTCATCCGTAATTGCATCAGATTTTTAGCATGCCCAGACACTATTGTCTCGACTGTCGATTAGTTGTCCAAGGGCCATTCTCTGTAGTGGACGTTACTCCATGGAAGCATATGAAAATGACAACGCTGCAAGAACAGACTGGCACGCCTTACCAGTGATCAAATCAAAGTACTATAGAATGACCCGGAAACTCCTGATTTAAATCCAATCGAGAATTTGTTGTCTATTTAAAGGAAGACCTTCGTGGAATGAACATATGAAGTGCACATATTTGCACTGCGTCATGTTTCATTGGAAAAATACGAAGAACAAGTAAATAATAACGGAATTATTCGTTTTGTTTCAAATAATTTGCCTAAGAGTGTAGATAAGAATTAA